TGATATCTTCCTCTAGGTTTGGGAAGTTCTCTGTTATTATCATTTTGAATAAACTTTCTACCCCTATTTCCTTTTCTACCTTCACTTTAAGGCCCAAAACTCTTAGTTTCACCATATGAGGACATTTCTAGATTCTGTTGGCATTCTTACCTGTTTTTTATACTTTTTTTCTTTTGTCTCCTCTGACTGTGTATTTTCAAATAGATTGCCTTCGAGCTCAATAAATATTTCTTTTGCTTGATCAATTCTGTAGTTAGGAGACTCTGATGCATTCTTCGTTATGCCAGTTGTATTTTTCAGCTCCAGAATTTCTGCTTGATTTTTTAAAAAAATATTTTAATCTCATTATTAAATTTGTCTCATTATTAAATTTAATCTCATTATTAAATAGAACTGTGAATTCCTTCTCTGTGTTACCTTGAATTTCTATGAATTTTTTCAAAACAACTAGTTTTAATTATTTCTCTGAAAGGTCACATATCTCTATTTCTCCAGGATATGTTCCTGGTGACTTACTGAGTTCATTTGATGAGGTTATGTTTTCCTGAATGGTCTTGATACCTGTGGAAGTTCATCTGTGTGTGGGCATTGAAGAGTTAGATATGTATTACAATCTTCTTGTATTAGCCTGTTCTCATGCTATTATGAAGAAATACCTGAGACTGAGTAATTTATAAAGAAAAGAGAATTAACTGACTCACAGTTCTGCATGACTGGGAAGGCCTCAGGAAATTTACAATCATGGTGGAAGTGGAAGCAAACACGTCCTTCTTCACATGGCAGTGGAAGAAAGAAGTGCCAAGCAAAGGGGGAAAAACCTGTTATAAAACCATCAGACCTCATGAGAACTAACACTCTATCATGAGAACAGAATGAGGGTAACCACTTCCATGATTCAATTACCTCTCACCATGTCACTTCCATGACATGGGGGGATTATGGTAACTACAATTCAAGATGAGATTTGGGTGGGGACGCAGCCAAACCATATCACTTCTCAAGTCTGGGCTTGTTTGTACCTGTCCTTCTTGGGAAGGTTTTCTGGATATTCAAAAAACCTTGGGTGTTGTGATCTAAACTGTATCTACTTTATGAGTCACCCCAAATCCAGTAATGTGATTCTTGTAGACTCATGGAGGCACCACCTTGATGGTCTTGAACAAGATCTAGAGGAATACTCTGGATTACCATGCAGAGACTCTTATTCACTTCTCTCTCTTTCTCCAAACCAATGGAATCTCTCCCTCTCTCTCTGTTCTCAGCCACCTGCAGCTGGCAATGGAGTGACACAATCACCCCTGTAGCCATCACCACTATGACTGCACTTGGTCAGACATGAAGCCAGCACAGAACTGGGTCTAACCAAGGGCCTACTATAATAACATACTGGTTATAGCCTATATTTGCTCATGGCCCTGATACTCCACATTTAGCAGATTGTGAAGCCAGCCAGGCCTGTGTTCTTCCCTTAAGGGTAGAGAGTTTCCCTAGATCCCATACAGGTCTAGAGGTGTAATCTAGGAGCCAGGGACTAGAGTCAAAACTTTAGAAGCCTACTTGATGTTTTATTGTACTGCAGCTGAGCTGGCACTCAAATGACAAGACATCGTCCTTCTGATTCTGTCCTCCCCTCTGCAAAGGCAGAAGAGCCTTATCCTATGGCCACTGCCACCACAGTCCCATGGGGAGTACTGCCAGACTACTGCCGATGTTTCCTTGAGGCACAAGGACACTTCAGACAGATAGGACAGTGGTCTCCCCTCTTGCCCAGGGCAGGTTCAGAAATGTCATCCAAGAGCCTCATCCTGGAATTACTGATCCTAAGACCCCACTTGGCGTTCTGTATCACTGTGGCCAAGTTTGTACCTAAGGTGCAAGATGAGCTCCCCTTTATTTTTCTGTCTACTTTTCTCAGGCTGAAGGAGTCCTGCCCTGTAGCCACCACAGCTAGGAATGTGCTAAGTCTCACCTGAAGCCAGCAATTCTCAGAGTCTCATCCAAGGTACTTGATGTAGTACTTGTGTATTGCTGCTGATTATTCAGGACTCAAGGTTTCTTTAGACAGCAAGTGATAAATTCTGCCAGGACTGGGTCCTTCCCTTCAAGACAGCAGTTTCCCTTCTGTCCCAGGTGTGTCTATAAGTGTCATCTGGGAGCTAGGACCTGGAAAGTGGGGGTCTCACAACTCTGATAGTGCCCTATTCTACTGTGGCTATGCTGGTATCCAAGATGCAAGACAAAATCCTCCCTACTCTTACCTCTTCCTTCCTCAAGCAGAGGTAGGGGTCACTGTTGGAGTCATGAGCTGCATAGCCTGGGGTTAGAGTAGGAGTGATACCAGCCCTCTCGTAGTCACTTCAGCTGATGTCTCAGTCGGTCATGTGCCTCTCCCAGTCCATTGGCTCTAGATCCAGTTCAGCACTAGGACTCACATAGGAGTTGCAGTCCTGTGGCCTAGATTGCCTTTCAGGTTTATTTAGGGTCCCAGAGCCCTTTCGTCTATGATGGTGAGGCTTACTGGAAATAAAGTTTAGACCACTGGGATTGGTGATTCCCCTCTGGCTAGGGCTGGTTTAAATTCTTCCTCTGTGGACTGGCATCTGCTGAGTTTGATCCAGTCTTATTTTCTGCTGTAACAGGGCATCACTGTGTTCAATGCTCACCTAACTCAATGAATTCAATTGCTGCACTCTCCCTGTCCCCTCTGCACAGAAATGCTCTCTGCAGTATACCACCACTACTAGGAGATGGTGATAGGTGATGTCAGTGATTCAATACTGTTTTTTCTACCTCTTCAGTGCCTCTTTCAGCAATGTAAAGCTAAAACCAGGTACTGCAAGTGCTCACCTGATTTTTGGTTCTTATGAAGGGGCTATTTTTGTGTAGATAGTACTTAAATTATTGTCCTTATGAGGGGGATAACTATTCCACCATCAAACTCCACCCCTAAGCTCTAAAATAGCTTTTACCCAAAAGACAGGTAATAGTCAATGCTTGTGAGGATACAGAGTAAAAGAAACACTCACATTGTTGTTTGAAATGTAAATTTGTACAACCAATATGAAGAACAGTATGGAGGCCCCTTAATTACCTAAATATAGAATGACCATATGATTCAGCAACCCCACTGGTAGGTGTCAGTATATCAAAGATATATCTGCATTCTCTTATTTATTGCAGCACTATTCACAATAGCCAAGATTTGGAAGAAACCTAAGCATCCATCAACAGATGAATGGATAAAGAAAATATTGTTTATGTAGACAATGGGGTACTAGTCAGCCATTAAAAGGAATGAGATCCTGTGTTTTGCAACAACATTTTTGGAACTGGAAGCCATTGTGTTAAGTGAAATAATCCAGGCTCAGAAAGATGAACTTCATGTTTTCACTCATATATGGGAGCTAAAAATTAAAACAATTGTAGTCATAGAGGTAGGTAGTAGAGTGATGGTTACCAGAGGCTGAGAAGGGTACTCAGCGGGAGGGAAAGTGCAAATGGTTATGGGTACAAAAATATAGTTAGATAGGAGGAAAGCAATCTAGTATTTGAAAGCACAACAAGGTGATTACAGTAAACAATAATTTATTGTACATTTAAATATAACTACAACAATATTATTGGAATATTTGTAACACAAAGTCACAAAGTCATGATAATTGCTTGAGGTGATGGATACCTCCATTTACCCTGATATGATTATTATGTATTATATACCTGTATCAAAATATCTCATGTACCTCATAAATATGCACACCTATTGTATACTCACAAAAATTAAAAATTAAAAATAATTATTTGGGGGCTGCAGGAAATGTAAAGAAGCAAAGTAAAATCACTTACAGTTAGCATGTTGGTATATTGACCTTCAGCTTGCTCTTCAGAAAATGTATACACCAGCAGTGTATTAGAATGCCCATTTGTCAACACAATCACCAATACTAAGTATTATCATTCTTTGTCATTTTTACTGTTTGTAGGTGATAAACAATATCCCATTTTTATTCAGTTTTTACCTCTGAGTTCCAGTGCATATGAATTTTTTCAGATGCTAGCTATATGTATTTTTATGAAATTTTTAAAGTATCTCACCCATTTTTAAGTGAGTGTTCCCATTTTTTCAATGTTTTGAATCAAGGCCCATTTGAAAAAAGATTCATCCACCAACATTTTAAAACTCACTGGCTAATCCTACAGTTTCTATGGATAGAGAGTACATGCTTCTGTTCATGTTCTATGCAACTTTATAACCTTTTAATCATTGAACTTTCTCATCCCTGTTGGCCATGAAGTTCTAAGTAGCTGTGACTGTTTTCCCTTCTGTTGTTTACCATTCACTCCAGGAGGCAAAATTATGCCAGTCATTCCATGCACCCACCAAAGACAACTCCATTATATGGTCCTAATATTTCCTCAGAATGATGGCATCATCTAGACTTTCATACATATGACAGAATAAGGGGCAATGTTAAGCCATCTCATTTGATTTTATATTAGGAAGTTCTGCTTTGTTGACTTGTTTAAGTTCTTCTAAATTGATAACCTTGACTATAAATTATTTCTATTTCTTGTACCCATTAACCATCCCCACCCCCTACCCCCCACTACCCTTTCAATAACTAAAAGAGTATAATTGGATTTTTGTAACACAAAGTATAAACGCTTGAGAAGATGAATACTTCATTTTCCATGATGTGATTACTTCACATTGCATGCCTGTATCAAAAGATCTCATGTACTCAATAAATACATACACCATGTACCCACAAAATTAAAAACAAAAATAATTTAAAAAATAAATTGATAACCTTTTCCCACTGCTGCCTCTTTTAGAAATGATGACATTATAGATATTGCTAAATGGATATGAATGTATAACCAGTTTCATAAATTTATTTGGACAGATTTGCAAATTTTCATTCAACTAGGGCAAGGGACAACTTTTTGTTCCCAAGGAAAATAGTTAAAATGTTGGTGTATGTTCTTTTTTAAAGGGTAAGTTAGAAATTTTAAAAAAATACATTTGACAAAATTAAGATGAGTGTAAAACATTAAAATAAATATGGAAGATTGTGACCAGTTTATACCTTCTCTTCCCACTCTAACGTCAGACCATATTCTATGCAGGACATACATAACAAGTAAAATGATGGCAATTGTCATACTGGCTTGAAAATCTTGGACAAGTGCATTTTCTAATTCAAATGCTTTGCTGTTCTAGTACAGCAAGATGCTTTCGTGATGTAATTATGAAACAGACATAATTTTCTTGACTAGCAGATGCTAATGAGATGCAGCATGGAAGATTATATTGTTTACCCACTCAAGGTCAGGGTAAAGTAGTTAGTGGACTTGGCAGCAAATGTTGCTGACAGTAGCAGGGAGAGCACCTCGTCTGGAACACAGGGTGTGAATACTGTTTATATGATTTATTAACTAGCTATCTCTTTTATAGAGAATGAATTTCTTTGTTCCAACATTATTTCAAAAAAAGGATTTCACCCAGCAGGCTAGACACAGCTATTCTGGTACATTTGTTACACTGAAATCTCCTCACAGTGTTTCTAAAAATGTTTACATTGAAAAGAAAATGCCACTTCAACATGAAGCATCACGCAGTGGCAGCAAAGCCCGAATTGGAAACTGTGGACAGCCCCTCTAGCATTGCAGCTGAGTTGAGAGAAAAAAAAAAAAATAGTCATGCTGCTCAAATGGTAAAGACTTCTATTTGATGTGATTCATGAGGCATTGGTGTCTAGGGCAGAGCATGGAATAGTTTAGCAGGTGTTTACTTTTGCAGTAAGCGATGTAGGAGCTATTACGAGTAAGGAGCAGAGGTTAAGTTCTAAGAAAAATAACCTCTGCATGGCCCTTAGCAATCCTCTCCAAAAGCTGAAGATACAGTTACTCCTTGACTTATAATAAGTTTACATCTCAGTAAACCCATTGTAAGTTGAAAATATTGAAAGTCAATTCATTTAATGCACCTAAACTATCAAACCTAGCCTATGTTAAACATGTTAAGAAAGCTTACAATAGCCTACAGATCTGTTGTTTAGTCTCATGATCGAGTGACTGATTTGAAGCTGTGGCTGGCTGCCATTGCCCAGCATCACAGGAGTATCTTACTTCATGTTGCTAGCCTGGAAAAAGGCCGGAATTCAAAATTCTAAGTGCCATTCCTACTGAATGTGTATTGCTTTTGCACCATTGTGAAATTGAAAAATCCCATGTCAGGGACTGCTTATACCCGTTTCTTCAAATTCATGCAGTCATTGACTTGGAAAGAATCTTAGATGTCCACTAGAGTTTATCGGAGTGTTGACCCATAGTAGATTTCTCTTAACTAATTGTTTCATAACAATCTTAATAAATGGATTCATGTATAGATACATCCCATGCAAGAATGTCCTTTATGGAGTTTCCTGCCAGGCAATCATTCAGCCTCTGTCCAAACACCACAAGTGACAAGAAACTCACCACTTCCTGAACAGTCCATTTCAACATTGAATAATTCTGATTATTAGGAAATGTGTTCCCATAGTTCTAAAATGAGTCTCTCTGTGTATTTTGCTTATTTCTCCTATTGGTAATACTTGGAGTCATGAAGGTAAATCTAATTCTTCCTTACAAGCCCTTAATATTTTGGAATACTGCCATTAACTCATCTTCTCCATCCAAGTTTTCTCTAGTCCTCACATTTGTTCTGGTATTTCTACCCTGCTCAGTATCCCCTACATGGACATACTCCTCTAGATGTGATTTTGCACAGGTAAAGTAGGACTATCATATATCTTTTTAGTAATAAAACAAATGCATTGAATGCTTACACTTAAACCACTCCTAAGTGTTTTACAGGAATTGTCTCATTTAATACTTGCAAAAATCTTATAAGGAAGGTATTATTATTACCCTGATTTTACAGATCTGGATAGTAGGCTTTTACTAGTACCACCTAAGATTGAATTAGCTTTTTTGTTTTGTTTCATTTTGTTGTATTAGTTGATTCAAAGGCTGCTTATCATCAGTAAAATTCCTAGATCTTTTCCCTATGAAGTGCTATCAAGTGTTGCTCTCAGGTCTCTGATTTTCAAAACTAAATACAGAACTTGACATGTGCTCCTATTAAGTTTCTTCGTATCCATTGCACGCCATTTTTACTTTTCCTCTTTTTTCTAGGTGGGGATGTTTAGTCTATTTTTTTTAACTCTGCTCTTAACAAAAGTTCCCACCATTTTTCTAGCATTTTTGTAAACTTCTATTTTGTTCTAAATAAATATTCAACATCTTTTACAATTTTGAGTTAATCATTCAGAATGTTAACTGCCTTTCCCAACTTTTTCCTTTTAGATATATGATAAACTTGCCTTCTGTATCTTCATCTAAAAAATAATTAAAATGCTAAAGTGAAAAGGATCGTGAACAGAGCTCCATAGTGCGACATTCAATAACTCTTTCCAGAGTAACATAAATTAACACTGTTTGGGTTCTCTTGTTCATTCCACCTAATTCTAGTATTCAGCTCTCATTTCCCATCCTATTGACTAGAACATTATGAAACACTTTGTCAAATGACTTGTTGAGATGTAATATCTGGAGCATTCCTTTTTCTACCTACCGAGTTACCCCATCAAGAATGGAAATGAGACTCCTTTGGTATGAGTTGTTTCCAACATGCCTTTGCTGCCTCCCAGATCTCTTATAAGTATACACAAACCATTTACAACATTACATTCTTGATTTTTTAGAAGCATTGAGGTTAAATTTTACCTGCTACAACTTCTGAAATCCACCTCTCCAATTTTTTGATATCTTTACAGACTTCCATAATTTGCTTAAAGTTACCGACAGTGGTTCAACAACCTAATCAGCACATTCTTTCAAGTCCCTTAGTTTTAATTTGTCTGAGTTGGAGAGCTGTATCAGCAGAAAGAGACTTAGTGATATATTGCTATCATTTCCTCCATCTTGGGCTTTGCTTCTTTCTTCACTTCAATAACATGATTTGATTTTTGGTATTGATCCTCAGTTTCTTTTCTGTATTGTCTTGTTTGTTACTGTGAAACACAAATAAATATGTCATTGGCAATTATCTCAACAAAAATGTATTCTAAACAGGAATATTCTCAATATAACAGCTCTTTTTGGTGTTGAGACTTGTTGTAATCATTTCTCACTTTTATTTACAATCAAGATAGTATAAGACTAATGTCACCTAATCACATAAACACATTAAACAAATTAGATTCTGTAAACAATTGTAAATCAAAATATGCTATGTTTATAGGAGATAGAAGTTTTGGAGAGGAGAGAAGTCACCAAAGTAAAAAACGAGCAACCAAAGTTATATGAAGTAAGTCCAATAAAATAACATAGAAAGTCTCAAAAGCAAGCGAGAAAAAAGAGGTGAGACATAATGAAGTTAAATATCTTACAGTTGATGATGAACGGAGACTAGAAGGGGCCTAAAGAGCAATTAATGAATTAAAAGTAAAAAAGAATTAATTAAACATTTCAGAATCAAAATGATGAATTTGGGGACAATGGAGGTAAAATTTTACAAGAATTGAGGAAAAAACAGAAGTTAATTCTTGGGCATTCAATTTCCATAGAGATAACATTAGTATCTCTTTTCTCTATTATCTTCCTTTCCAAATTCTAAAGTGGCAAATAATGTCCTGTATTGAAAAATTTTTTGTACTTAATTCAAAGATAAAAGCGTTCCAATCAATCAATAATGTAATGCGATTAATAAATACACCATAAGAATTAATGCTGAGAACATAAAGAAGTATATAATGAGAAAGTGGTCCCAAAGGTGGATAGCAGATAGTTCTATTCCATTTAGCCTAAAACACTCAAACCATGGTATCTTAATCCTTCTAATACACACTACTACTACTACTGCTGCTTGTTTTCTGACTTTCAGGAACCCCATCACCTTTTGGTCTCAGATGCAGGGTCCCCCATCCAATTGGCTAAGGTTTACTCTTCTCACCAGTTTCTTAAAATTGTCTTATCTCAGGTTATTTATCCTAATGGAGCGAAGCTCTTTTTGTAATCTACATCAGTTTTTCCATGAATATGAATATTTGAGAGCTGACTGTACTACTTAAGTACAAAATCAGCTTTATGTCCTCCCATCTAAGGCTCTACTTTCACAAGATTTATTTGCTAAGACCTGAGATCTGATAATCTTTAAAAAGAGAAACTTGGCATGACCTTTTATAAAACACATAATTATGGTTGTATCTATATGAGATAAACATCTGAAGTGTGTCTGTTTGCAGGAACCAAGAAAAAAAACTGTCTGAGAACATGCCTGGGTGTGGCAAATCACCATCTAATTATTAAAGTTTTGTCTGGAAATTTTCCTTAACGTGGTATACCATAATGGTTGAAGACAAATTTCTAATAAAGTATTTGGTAGGGCCAAACCAGTTCATACACTTAGAAATTCAGCCTGAAAATTAGTGTCTCAGCTAGTTGCTTACTAAAAGATTTATTTGCTATTTTGTATGCAAGGTATGTGTTAGTGAATCTTTTGAATAGTTAAAGAATGTGCCAGTTTCTTGAAATTTGGTGAGCTATGCTTCAGAAACTATTCTAAACTTTGAAGACACATTGTGTCTTAGTTCAGAGTTTAGGGAAATAAGAAAATGCCTACACATACAGAAGAAATTAAATGACCTTTGGTATTAACTTTAATAGTATCTGAGTCAAAGATAATGTCTCAGTGTTCAACTTTTCAATATCCTTGTGGGCAGTCATTGTACTCCTTCTATGCTACTGTAACAGACAAGACATTCCAAAATAGCCTCCAGTCAGTTTCCTTTTTCAAACCAAACAGAAACACTAATTAAAAAATAAAACACCTTTCATCCATCTGTGAGGTTGAATTTCATTTTTTAGAATAGATTTATTTCAAGTCCTTTCTGACTAAGCACATTTGATTACATTTGTGCCTTTAATCTGTGTGTGAGTGCTGAAACGAATCAAATAAGTCTTGACCTCTTTCAAAATAATTGCCTTTGCAATGATTTTTAGAAGCTAATAAAATCATGCTAAAGATAGGGCACTAGGAATAAGGGGAATGCTAGAAAACTACTATCTTTAGAATTGAATTCTTTCAGAGGTACCTAAAATCAGCAACTGCCATGATGAAGAAAAATTAATAGGTAGTCATTTATTTCCTTTTCCACTAAGAAAAATACATGAAGCGCTTAATTCAATGCCATGTGCCTTGTAGCTGCTTAAGTAAAGATGATAGTAATAACGACTATTACTTACATAGGAAACTTTTTCTGCATTAATCCTCAAACTCAACTTTCATCTTAGGCCATTTATCCTAATGAACTCATGTAATTAGCAGTAATATATAGATTACTATATATGATTTTCACTACACATCTGCACATATCAGTATTTTATTAATCTGTTTTCTCCTTTAGAATTATTTTTTTAAATTAGGAGGAAATGATACACTTTATATAAAACACATTTAACAAATGGTAGCTATTATTAATAGTACTTACACCTGACAGAGTAATGTCCAGTTCAATTACTCTATATATTCTCCTCAAAATGGAACATCTATGTTTCTTTTTCTTTCTTTCTTTCTTTTTTGAGTCTCGCTCTGTTGCCCAGGCTGGAGTGCAGTAGCAGGATCTCGGCTCATGGCAACCTCTGCCTCCCAGTTCAAGCAATTCTCCTGCCTCGGCCTCCTGAGTAGCTGGGACTACAGGCACACGCCACAACCTCCGAAAAATTTTTGTATTTTTTTAGTAGAGACAGGGTTTCACCATATTGGCCAGGCTGGTTTTGAACACCTGGCCTCGTGATCCGCCTGCCTTGGCCTCCCAAAGTGCTAGGATTACAGGTGTAAGCCACCGTGCTGGGCCCTGTGTTTCCTGGTGAAAGTGCCATGAGGCACCAGGCACATTTATACACTGATGGTAGATGTGCAATTTTGTACACTTCCAAAATGCAAATAAAAATGTTTTCAAAATAATAATACCTACCAACTGACCTACTTCAATTAATTTTTTCTAAGAGCATAATTATGAAATACAGAAAGACTTCTTTACAGAAATATTTACCAAAGATATGTTTATGAAATGTTTAACAATAAAGCATGTTGATTAAAGTATGATACAGGTGTATTAAATGGCAATTAAAATCTTCTTGAAGTGTAATACGTATTGGCATTGGAATATTTATGAAACATTGCTAGTTAAAAAGCAAATAATAAGACAGTCTGTAGAAAGGATACCATTTGTTCATAAGTCTCTATACATAAGCATAAAAGAGACCGAAATGATATTTTTCTTCAAGTACTGGCATTATGGGTGATTTGTGTTACCTCTTTATTTTCTGATTTTCTCCTGATTTTCTTCAGTGAGCATGAATTATTTTAGAAATTAAGGGGAAAAAGATAACAATTGATACTTTTTATCATTAAAAGCATGAGCATGGAAGATGCCTGGAAGAGCTTTTACTCCAGCTTTACGATTCTCCAACTCTCCTTCTTTTCCTTTAGAAAAAGTACCAGAAGACATTAGGTGGAATGGGGAGAGAGAGTGGGTTAAAGCTACTTGCTTTCCCATATGTCTGGTGGCAAATTGCTACCCTGTCTCTGGTTTCTTCCTTTCAGCTCCCAAGAAATGCATCACTGGCTACAGTTCTGCCAAATGCACTATCTATTCCTGAACAGAGATACTGGTCCCAGTCCTCACAGTTTTCCTGCCCTGATTAGCTGTGCTGGTCAACAAAATTCCTTCTACTTCCCTTCCTAAAATCTTCAGAGCTTAAAGGCAGCTCTGACTACAGAGCCTCACTTTCTTTTCTCTTGGATCCTCCCTCCCCACTCTGGAGATTTAAAGGCACTTAACAGAAAAGTAGCCCCAGGCCACCTGATTAACTTCTTCCTGCATTGCCACTGAAACAACCAAGAAAGTAGAAGAGGAAGAAAGCTTTTATAAGATTTTATTGCTCTTACGAAGAGGGGGAGAGAGGGGCATACACCACACACACCTGCTAAATTTCCCAAAGTAAAAGTTTTGTGACTGTTGAAAATGTGATGAATTTATCAAAAGTACCTGAGAGCAGCTATTTAATGTAAATCACACCTCTCTTTTTTCTGTGAGAGTGTGAGACTCACATTTTTAATAAGATAGACGACACAAGCAGAGCACTGTAGCATCTATGTAATGTCAAAGATAAACGAAGCTGGACACCAGTTAAAGAAGTAAGAATAGTTGTTGTTTTGTTTTGTTTTTTTCCAGATCTTCCCTTGAGAAAGAAAACCAATAATAACCATTACAAAAGGTAAAAGAGTCCAGTGTGAACTGAATTCAACTGTCATTTGTACAGAGGTGACTATTTTAAAGGGAGAATGAGAGAATAGTGAGGGAGTGTAAAAGGGGGCTCAGTGGAGTCAAGAAAGTAAAGAGTTACCATGGATTAATCAGTATAAATGTAATTAGGCCAGCTGTGTCTCCAAGCTGGCTATAATGGAAGTCAGGATTCTATCCTCTCACAGACTGGGAAACAGAGGCCTTAACCTCAGTTGTTGGCTAGGACAAACAGTAAATTTTGGGGGCAATCTTCAGTTTTCTCAGGCATGCACTTTATGGGTGGGGAGACATCCTAAGACTTTGGCCTTGGGTTGACAACAATGTTAGTGTTTTATTCAAGTCTTTATAGACTAAAGTTAAAGTCTTGTAAAGAAAAGACTCAGAAGACCCTGGCTAGACTTTGGTCAAGGAGAGAATCTTTTTCAGTCATCAATAAGCCTAATCGTTTTAGCCACACAATGCATATTTCTCACAATAAAGTTTTTACTCACATATCATGTATTGTGCTAACCTGGGAAAGGCATTTGATGTGAAGATCAGGGAAGTCTGTTACTCTTTCTGACCCTCCAAATGATATTTTTACACCTCCTTTTACTGTTTTCATTACTATGGTGGTTCTTTAAGACTGTCTACTTTTTAAATCTCTGATGCATGGGCCAAGATCTCTGAGGAGAATGCAACAATGACAGGTAACATGGGGCAAACAAATAATTTATTCAACGCGTTAAATCCCTGGCAAAAGATTCCTAAAACTACATCTTTCAAGTTTCTAGTTCTAACAGAATATGTTCATCTAAACCTTAAACTCATAAAATATAATAAATTTTTTTTTATGTCTTCACACTTTGTATTTTCCTATGCTGGAAAACTTTTCTATGGAAGTATCTATTTTTTAGGTTATTTTATTTTATTTTCCCCATAACTTCTTCTGAACATTTCTATTTTCCTTGAGGTAGAGTGATGGAACTTAGACACCCATAATCAAGAAGTGTATTAAAAAAAAACTGCAAAACATTAACATCTTTGAATATAAAACCATAATGTACATATCTAGAACAAAATGTCTAATACCTTTCTTGATTATGTCCATCTCTATAATGAGTTCTTAGTTATTTACTAGGATTATATCTAATACTGTAGATTTTAGTTAATTTTTCTGAAAATTTATTTATTTGAACTTAGTTATGATGAAATTCATTCATACTTTTCTATGTTCTCAGCCTTGGGATAGTTTTTTGAAGATTTCTCCATTGGCCTGTCAGTACACCACCCAGATAGAGGTTAAGTATCTCTCACAAATATGGAGGAAGAGAGGCATTGTATTGTGTAAGAAAACCTTAATTAAGGGTCAAGATGTCACAGTTTTTAGCAATGTCTCTGCTACTAACTAGCTGTGTGTCACTAAAGAAATCACCTGGGACCTCTCTCCTCTTCTGTTGAGTAATTTCACCATGGAATCTCTCTTCCATACTATTTATTAAATTATTATACAAAGTATTAAACATTGTCTCCATTTCTTGGATAGTCTCAAGTTCTCAATCTCCTAATGGGTAAAAAGTAAGGCTCCTTCAGAGTGGAGTGCATGTCTTTGGCTACAAAATAAAATAAGAGTCAACAAAGAATTCAAAAAATGAATCACAACCAATCATGAGACAGGATGCATAATCTCATAATTTTTTTGTAAAGAGAACATGAAAAACAGGATGCAAATGATTAAACCGATCTAAACACACACAAGAATATACCTATTCACTTCAAACACGTCATAGACCAACCTAAGTATACTTTTATCCTGATGGATTCAAATCAACTAAAGAAAGAAAAAAAATTATCTGAAAGTTTGTCCTTTGTATTTGAAAATGCTGTCTTTGATTTTCTTGGACAGACACATGGTCATCAGCAATATTTACATCAGTTTTTTGTTTGGTTTTTTTTTTTTTTGAGATAGTGTCTCTCGCTGTTGCCCAGGCTGGAGTGCAGTGGTGCTATCTCAGCTCACTGTAACCTCCGCCTCCCGAGTTCAAGAGATTCTGCCGCCTCAGCCTCCTCAGTAGCTGGGATTACAGGCACGTGCCACCACGCCAGGCTAATTTTTGTATTTTTCATAGAGATAGGGGTTCACCATGTTGGTAAGGCTGGTCTCAGACTCCTGACCTTGTGATCCGTCCGCCTCCGCCTCCCAAAGTGCTGGGATTATAGGCATGAGCCACCGCACCCAGCCTACATCAGATTTATTTTTATTGTTTACTCCCATATTTTCCATATTGGAAAATCTCAACCTAAAACAATATTGTTCTAAAGCATCCCTTATTACTCAGCTTTTAGAATTAGCAGTGCCTCCTCATAAGAATAATGGCATACATAGTGACTTGATTTCAAGATTAGCACACAAAAGCCAATTTAATTCATGATGTCCCTGAAGTATATTATCAATATATTCTTTAAAATTTCTAGCAGTGGACATTCTTGAAGAATGGTCCAGAAAAGATCATTCAAAATTAGAACAAATATTAGTCAAAGCCAGGATTTGGAGAGGCAGGTAGTCTGGAGTAATGTTTATGGTTGAGAATTTCCTAATAGGCACCAGAAGAACAAAGATCGTCAGCCAAAGACAAATTAAAATTCACCCAATAGGCAACAGAAAGATAAAGGCCATCAGTTAAAAACAAACTTAAACTGACCTCAGTATATTTGAGAAAAGAAGGGAAAGAAAAAGAAGAAAAGAGAAAGAAAAATAGGTCTTATTGACTGGCGGGGCTAGTTGCCTTGCCTGAATGAACTGCAATACGATAACCTAACCACTATTACTTTGGTTGGCAACAGCATTGGAGTAAGCTTGTGTGACTTTGTAACAAAGTAGTCTGACTAATTCACTAAAAATCTAGTGCTGAAAGTATCTTCTTTCTGGCTTAAGGGAGACTCTGAGATGCTTTACATGTACTTACAAATCACAAGTACAAATCACCCATTTCTACAGCTGGTACCCACCATTCTGTCTACTACCCCTACCTCAGCTTCTTGGCCATTTGACACTTCTACAATACCCCTCATTAAATCACCTCTTCTGATTATTGATACATTTACACTGTTCTTTATGACTCGTTTAGATGGATAACCAAGATGTTATTTCAACAGTCATGACACTGAAGTGAGGGAGAAAACTTCCTCCTCTTATCTGCTCTATTACAGGGCCATGAAACAGAAGCACCTAATGCTTTCTGTTTCTAGTATAACTTAAGATCATGGGTTAGGTGTTGCTCTTTCATTTTATTTACCTCTTGATGAGTTACAGGACACTTTGCTCTAGGTATTCATCATAGTTTTCCAGGACATGATCAGAAGTTATCACCATCACATGGCCTTCACTGGCATCCACACTATTGCACTTAGAATCATTTTTCACACATTACCTTCACCTGGTTTCCAAACCAAGTTTGAACATCTTGACTTTCACTTTTCTCAAAGTCAGTGCCTCCACCATTAAGTCAACATTCTGTAAGAGTAGAAGTCAAAGAGTCACATTTTTCCCCTTAACTGTCAGGTATCCTCAGTCTATGGAGGCATCTATCAGCCCCAACTCATCCAGTTATTATCATACAAGAGGATCCTTGGCTCTGGTCTAAATAAACTACAGTTGAGAGACACAGTAGCTCACAGTGCTTTTCCTAAGATCCTGGAACCACATTTTCTAAATAAGTGATTCTTGACTTCTAGTCGCACAGAAGACAGATTTCTGAAACTTTAAATAGCTATGATAAAAGATGTTCAACATCACTAGTCAATAGTGAATTGGAAATCAAAACCACAATGAGATACTACTTCACACCCACTAGAATGGCTATAATACAAAAAGAAAAAACAGAAAATAACAAGTGTTGACAAGAATTTTGGGAAATTGGAACCCTCATACACTGCTGGTGGGAATGTAAAATGGTGCAGACACTTTGGAAGGCAGTTTGGTGGCTCCTCAAAAATGTAAACATGGAATTACCATATAATTCAGAAATTTCATCCCTAGGGCCCTACTCAAGAACAATAAAAAACAAATGTTCACACAAAAATGAATATACAAATGTTCATAGTAGCATTATACATAATAGCCCCCAAGTGGAAACAACCCCATTTTTAATCAGTTGATGAATGGATAAACAAAATGTTGTTACATACATGCAATGGATTATTTTAAAATCATAAAAAGGAAAGAAGTATTCATATAAACTACAATGTGGTAAATCTCAAAAATATGCCAAGTGAAAGAAGTCAAACACAAAAGGCTTGTCAGATTCCACTGGTATGAAATGTCCAGAATAGGCAAATCCATAGATGCAGAAAGTAGATTAGTGGTTGCCAGGGACTGGGGAAGCAATGAAGAGTGACTACAGACAGGTAAGCATTTTTTTTTTTTTTTTAGGGTGATAAAAATGTTCTGGAATTGGACAGTCATGATGGTTGCACAGCTCCATGAATATACTAAAAGTCATTTGGTTGTATACTTTAAATGGGTAAACTCTATGATATGAGAATTACACCTCAAAAAAAAAAGAAAATCTATGGAGAAAAGTAGAATGGTCATTGTCTGAGGCTGTGAGTAGGAATAGGAAATGAATGCAAATGGATTAAGAGGCTATTGAGGAGTTAATGGAAATGTTCTAAAATTAGATACTGGTGATAGTTGTACAACTCTGTAAATTTATTAAAAACTACTGAATTGTACAATTCAAATGAGTGAATTTTATGGTATGTAAAGTATGCCTCAATAAAACTATTTTTACATAATGTATGAACATCTGGTCTCCTTCCAGACTGATTAAACAAGAATCTTTGGGAGTAATTTCTGGGTATTAATAGTTTTTAAAAGTTCCCCAGGTGATTATAACATGCAACCACCACTTGTGGGGAAAATAATCAATTGCTCTTGGAACGGTAATACGGCTTATAAAATACATGGTGGAAAAAGAATGTGTGCTGAAAAAAAAATCTGAAGAAATAATGGCTGACAATTTACTAAGTTTGATGAAAGACATTAATCCACAAATTCAAAAACTTAAACAAACTTCAAACAACATAAACCCTAAGAAATCTATGCCCAGATATCACAATAAAACTGCTGATACCTAGAAAGCTGTCAGTGAAAAATTATCCATTATGCGTAGTCAGGGAATATTTAAATGACTGTAGATTTCTCATTAAAAACCATGGAGGTCAAAAAGAAGTGGCACAAATAATTTTCAAGTTCTGAAATAAAAGAAAAGGGCAGGCAACCCATAATTCTCTATCCAACTAAAATGTCATTCAGAAATGACAATAAAATAAAGATATTCTCAGATGAAGAAACACTATGGGAATTCATAGCCAGCACACCTGGACTAAAAGAATGCCTAAAGGAAGTTCCTGAAACAGAAAGGAAATAATAAAACAAAGAAACTTAGAGCATCATATAGAAAGAACAACATAAAGAGTAAAGATGAGTAAACACAATATATTCTTCTCCTTTGAGTTCTTTAAAATATGCTTGACTGTTTAAAATAAAGAGTATAACATTTTTCTGATGGGGTTGTTGATGGATATTTATGTAATATACATATACAACATAAAAGGGAAAGTATAAAGGATCTGCATAATGGTAAGTTTTCTACATTCCACTTGAAGTAGTAAAATATTAATTCTAAGTAGACTATGAAATAAGTATTTTTTAATTCCTAAAATACCCAAAATACAAAGAGATATAGTCAGAATCATAATAGATAAAATAAAATAAAAAACAAGAATTATTCAAAATCACCCAAAACATGGCAAGAACAGAGAAACAGAGAAAAAAAAATGGATGATACAAAAAAAAAATAAAATAAAATAAAATGGTAGGCCTAAATTGAGATACTCCTGGGTATTTATTCTGGAGAAATGTAAACTATGTTCACACAAATACCTGTACAAAAATGTTTATAGCAGCTCTACTTATAATCATCAGAAACTGGAAACTGTCCTGATGTACTGCAATGAGTAAATGGCTGTACAAACTATGGTCCATTCATACAATGATCTATTCAACAATAAAAAGAAAGAACAACTTAGGTAAAATCTTAAAAACACTATCTTGGGTAAAAGAAGTAAGTCTCAAAAGATTAGATATCATATGATTCTATTTATATAATATTCTTGAAAAGATAAAACTATGAGAACATAAAACAAATTAGTCGTTGTCAGGGGTTAGGAGTTGGGGGAGAGTGTGACTATAAAGAGATAATACAATGAAGTTCTTGAGAGTGATGAAAAAGTTCTGTATTGTGATTGTTGTGGTGGTTACACAAATATATATGAGTTAAAATTTATAGAACTGTACACCAAAAGGAAAATAGTCATTTTTACTGCAAAATAAAAACAATAGTAAGCAAACAATTGTCACTTACATGACCTTGATATTTACTTCTCTGTTAGGGGTTCTCAATAAGATATTTTAAAATCATCATTTCTTTACAGTCTTAAGCTAATGACTTTTTAAAGGATGAAACTACAAGCTATAATTAATGTCATGAATTCCCTAATTATTCTTCCCTGCTAACAATATTAACTCCTAGTCAAGCTTTAGGTGAGATAATAGCCTCAAAATTTCAGGACATTATACACTATTTGATGTTTTCATTAAATAAGTAATCATCCATATCATCTCTATAGAGGAAAAATTTATATTTCAGTGCATGATTAGAATTGCTATCTAGAATTTAGTGCTTTTCGAGCCATTAAGATGGGTGGCTATTAAAATGGGGATAGATGATGGAAACCTCTGCTTATGGGCAGGTGGAAGCCCCAGATATATTGCTCTTAAATGACACTGTTTATGACATTTAACTAAACTCAGAGCTTTTCTGTTTTGGTCCTTACTTGAAAGCAAAAAGATGGTAAATAACAGGGTTACCACTGGTTCTACTGAGACAGCTGTGTCTGCAATAGCTCCTAGTAACTAGAAAATTGTGGTTGTGGTACTAAAATAATCTCACTGTCCTGTCTTTTTCTCAGTAACAGTCCTGGGTTTCTACTTTATCAATAGAAATAAACCATTTTGGCTGAAAAAATATGCATATATATTTAACACCACAATAAAATGTTCTCTTCATTGAAACTTCTGTTTGAGAACAGGAACTACCATCAGACTTGTCTTATACAATGCTCTGATAGTAAATGCCTTATTGGTTTGGGTTAATGCAGCCACTTAACCAAGCTCATAAAAAGTCTATGCCATAAAAAGTGTCAGCCTTGATCATTAGGCATGTCAGAAGGTCTCATTCTGAAGGAAAGAAGGTGCAAAGACTGATGGGATTTGGCACTAGTCCAAGGTGGAGACTGGAGGAAGAATCAGGGCAAAATGACTAGTTGCCTTTAGAGAGGGACACAATCCAAATCACCAAGTCCCAGGAATGTGAAGACATAAAAATGACTTTCAAACTATCATTCATTTGTTTTTTCAGCAAACATTTATTGACTTTTTCCTCTCTGCCTTGCACTGTTTCAAGTGCTGGAGATACTTCAGCGAACCAGACAGCCAAAGTTCTTCTTCTCATAGAGCTTATAAATTTAGTGGGAGGAGAAAGACATGAAACAAGCAGATAAGATAATTTCAAATAGTCATATAAATATTACCAAAGAAATTATACAGAGTAATATAAAGAGAGTGATATGGTTTGGCTGTGTCCCCACTCAAATCTCAGCTTGAATTGTATCTCCCACAATTCCCACATGTTGTAGGAGGGATTCAGAAGGAGATAATTGAATCATATGGGCCAGTCTTTCCTGTGCTCTTCTTGTGATAGTGAATAAGTCTCACGAGATCTAATGAGTTTATCAGGGATTTCTGCTTTTGCATCTTCCTCATTTTCTATTGCCACCACCATGTAAGAAGTGCCTTTGGCCTCCCACCATGATTCTGAGGCCTCCCCAGCCATGTGGAACTGTAAGTTCAATTACACCTCTTTTTCTTCCCAGTCTCGGGTATGTCTTTATCAAGAACATGAAAACGGACTGATACAGTAAATTTGTACTTGTAGAGTGGGGCATTGTGGAAAAGATACCCCAAAATGTGGAAGCAACTTTGGAACTGGGAAACGGGAAGAGATTGGAACAGTTTGAAGAGCTTAGAAGAAGATAGGAAAATGTAGGAAAATTTGGAACTTCCTAGAGACTTGTTAAATGGGTTTGCCTAAAATGCTGAAAGTGATATGGACAATGAAATCCAGGCTAAGATGCTCTCAGATGGAGATGAGGAACTTGTTGGCAAATGGTGCAAAGTTGACTCTTTTTATGTTTTAGCAAAGAGACTGGAAGAATTTTGGCCCTGCCCTAGAGATTTGTGGAACCTCAAACTTGAGAGAGATGATTTAGGGTTTCTGGCAGAAAAAAATTCTAAGCAGCAAAGCATTCAAGAGGTGACTTGGGTGCTGTTACAGGCATTCAGTTTTATAAGGGAAGCAGAGCCTAAAAGTTTGGAAATTTTGCAGTCTG